AAGAGACAGGTACTCTACGGTGTAAGTGGGACATGGCCCCCTGCTGGGCATGGAAGAAAAGAAAAAGGAGAGAAAAAAAAAGAAAAATAACCTGAGGCCTTCATAACCGGTACATCACACCTATCTCACCTGGTAGTGCCTGAGTTCGACCCCTACATAACGCAGCTAACTGAAATGAAGGCGAAGATTCCGAAAAACAACAGTAGGACAAAACACTCATCACTAGCATCAATCAATAGAGTCTATCAAACATGCTATCTATCAATCAATAGAGTCCATCAAACAGGCTATCTGTCAATCCACCAGAACCAGATAAGCCTATCCAAATTGGGTAAGCAAGAATGATCACAACTGCTTCGCACAGCATGCACACACACACAAATTGAATCTAATTCTCAAGCGCATCCACCGTTCTCTTGGATCATTTCTGCTTCTCTAATAATTGTTCTGTCGGATTCATTCTGGACTTCAATCTTTGGTCGCCTTGCATGTCGTACATGTTCGTTATGATCTCTGATTGAACGTGTGAAATTTCACCTCACCTCTTTGTTGCGCGATTGTATGCATGTGAAAGAAACTGAGGCATTGGCCTTGCGTCTTTTTGTCCAGCATTGCTCCTTCCTCGACGTCTTGGTTTCCATCAAAGGTGCTGGTGCATCATGCCCCTCCTCTCTTCTGTCACACTTTCTTACTCTCTCATGTCCCTTGCGATCTTCCTGCTGCTCGCCCTTCCTTGCTGTCCTTGAAGTTCTTGTTTTACACACCGAGTCCTTTGCATGCCCCTTTCCTTTCGTCTTTCCAATTGGTCCGATTACCCCTTCACTGCACTTTATGAAGCATACGTTTTCTAGACTCTGAGAGCATTCAATAGCTTAGATTGTTTCAATGATTCTTCTCTGTAACGTTTGGGTTCTCTTCGTATATGGGATCAACTTTATGAGAAGAATGATCAAGAATCCCGTGTCTACTTCTTTCTGATTGGTCCAACGATGCGTGTCAGATCACTCCGCGGAGTGAACCAATGTCCACTGCATTGCTGTCCGAGCATGTGCTTCCCTCAGACCCACTGTCCCACACATCTGTGATCTTCCTAGTACCCTTAAACCACCACTCTTTCTGGACCTATTTTGACATTGTCAAACCAAAAGTTGCAGCTCCCTGAGCCTATAATCTACAGCGAGGTCGTGAGGAAAAGTAGTTGCGGTACCCTTCCCCACCGAACCTCTACCGGGCCTGGGCACTGTGGATTCCCCAGGGAACCTCTACCGGGCCTGGGCACTGTGGATTTGGGACCAGTACTTGTAGACAAGAAAAATGAACCGTGCAGGTGACATTGGAGTGGTGGGAAAAAACAAAACAAAAAAACAAACAAAGTTAACAAACAAACAAATATTGGAGTGGTGGTCTAACCCTGGCAGTGCCTCTGTCTCTGATACACAGCTGAACGGAATACTTGTGAACGTGAGATGTTGGTGGGATTAAAAAGAGGAAAAAAAAGGGAAAGGAGAGATGCCGGTGGAATAATTGCCTGCAGTGGACGTGTTCAGTACGACTGATGATTCCCCTTCCCTCACAAATCTTGTTTCTCTTCATCTGTGATCCTGTGAATTTCCCTGTCACAATCCCTTTGCTCTCCTATCTTTCGCCGTGCCGACAGGCTGGTTATGGTCATTAGACTTCTGGACAGACCCCGCAGGCTGGATGTGTCAGGCGGGGAGACAAGATCGCTGCTAGGAATGCGAACTCTTGAAGAGGCCTGATGAGCTGGTGATCCAACCGGGTTGACACAATAGTCCATTGCTATACACATCAGGGCACGCATAGTCCATTGCTATACACATCAGGGCACACACTGGTGATCCAACCGGGTTAACGCCATCATGATGCCAGTGTGTGGCCTGATGTGTAATAGCAATGGACTATGTGTGCATGGTTTGTGAGTCATGGAGGCCTTGTGGCTGGAGGCTTTCAAGCACGGTAGAGCCATAATTGCAGGTTGGAGATCGGTATGTGAAGTCAGAGACCGGGATGATAAGCTCGGCGAATGGAGAAGTCTTTCATAAGAAGTGTCGCAGTCGGATTGAGTCAGGCCGGTACCCAACAAGAAAAGTCCAAGTCCCAACTTATGCACGCTGGGCATAATTCTCTTGAGCGAATGGATGTGAAGTCAGAGACTGGGATGAGAAGTTGGGCGAATGGAGAGAGAGAGAGAGAGAGAGAGAGAGAGAGAGAGAGAGAGAGAGAGAGAGAGAGAGAGAGAGAGAGAGAGAGAGAGAGAGAGAGATTGCATGTCGGGCAGCTGTTGAGCACAGACAAGGTACTTTCTGTCCACTGCGAGTTGCAGAGCTGTTGTAATTAGTTTCGAGTCTTGATGTGGCATACTGTGCAGCCACACGGGCCTGCAGGGCCCGACCGGACAGAAAATAAGGGCCCTACAGGCCCTGTGTCGTTTCATCCTGAAAGCCTGAAAACGAGGCCTACAGGCCCTGTGTCGTTTCAGCCTGAAAGCCTGAAAACGAGGGCCTACAGGCCCTGTGTCGTTTCAGCCTAAAAAGGGCCCTCCAGGCCCTGAGTCTTTTTAGCCTGAAACGGAGGGCCATTTTCAGGCCCTCATAAGATCGACCTCCCCTGAAACTTAGGCAACAAACCAGGGTTTTAGCACAGGCCATCTTGGGTCTGTTTTTTTTTTT